TGGAAGACTGGTAACAAAGCTCCTATTATACTGTGAGATACCAGTCTTAGGCAGGAATTAAATGAGTAACAAAAATCACAAGCCCAGATCAGTCACAACAAAGGGTAAACAAAACATATAAATGTCATGATCAATCCTCTTATTCCAAGCATATGCTTTGTAAAGCACAAGCAAATACTGTTTAACTTCTCCCCAAATCCTCAAGCAAACAAAAACATCCAAGCAGCACCTGGCATTAATATTGACCAGGAAAATGAAGGCACCTTAGCCAGTATACTGCAAAACGAAGCTCAACAGAGGTGACAAACCCAAAATTCACAGCCTCAGCTGACCTGCTGGACCTACTAGGAGACATCAACATCCTTTTTTGCCTCAAGCTCTGCTTGAGCCTCAGCACTCCACTCTCCATTTAAGGGTTTCAAATGAACTGTATATAACTCGAGCTTGAATACGATTTGGGGGGGGTTGTGTGCGTGTGGTTTGGTTTTTTAAACCCCTCACAACAAGCAGTTAATTTTGTCAGGTTCTCCAGGAAAACATGCAATTAAAAATACAGCATAAGACAGGCAGCTCCCACCAGCTCAGCTGTCAGCAAGCAAACAGCTAACAATGAATGTATCAGGGTTTCAGAGCACACCTCGGAGGGCCACTGTAACTACGTGGTTTAAATTCTTTACTTTAATAGACAGCAATGTTAGAAGCATGTTCCACAGGAAGAAGTCTTCCCTCTAAGCAAAGACTCTAAAGCGAGACTGTATTATGTGTCATTTTGCACAATTATGTTCATTACACAAATTATTAAATGAAGCCATAGGTTTAGTCTCAGTTTGAAAACAACCTTCCTTCTATCTCCTAAGAACTTTTTGGGGAAAAAAGGACATGTTTTTCTAATCCCTGGCCCCTCCCCAGCAGCATCTGCCTCATAGATGGCCATAAAGACCTCCAAGTGTTGAAAACCATCTGCTCACGCAGACAAGGGCTGGTCACCCTCATGGATGAGGAAGCAGGGAACAATGAACCAGTCCATTTAAAACAACCCACTAGAAAGAAATGCTATCCAGAATATTTGTTAAAATTTAGAACTAGTCTATGGGAAGTAGTAATTCCAAAAGAAATAAGTGAAGTATCTCCCGCTGAAATGCTACCACTGTAAGCAATTCTTGCTAATAACCCAGAGATGCAGCTGAAAGAAACTTCAACACAAAGAAGCAAAAACAATGAAACAAGATAAAGACAGGAACAGGCCACTGGAGAGAATGTTTCTCTCAGAGCGTTCATCTGATCTTTAAAATTTAATCCCAATCCATCATTCATCAGTCAGTGCTCCCTCATGTATGTTCTCAAGGGACACTTCCCTCCCAAGCCCTCCAGTACATACTGGGCATGTATTTGCAGGGGCCACTTAAACAAATCAATTAGTCATTAGTACCTGGGGTGCATCCAGCTTAATGAAAGAGTCTTTTCATCCATTATCCTAGATCAGAAACAATCCCTGCAGAGTAAGTGATGTGGTATCTTTAAAGTCCTGCTGTGTTAACAATTGAGATCAGGGTTAGAGAGATATTTTAAAGCTTTACATTGTTTCTGGTTTAACAATAAAAAAATCTTCATGTAGCTGACCAGGACAACTTTGTTTGCTTAACTCCTGCATATGAATGAGCTTACACTCATTTTAAGGGATTAAAGTCTGTTTAAAAGTTATAGGAAGTTACCCAACATCCTAACTCTTTAGGAAGGTCACCAGCTTTCCAGAAGGACTGAAGAGACTCCAAAAGCAGTGCAAGACTGACTGGTATCCATTGATCCTGACCCCCTATGTGTGTTTTATTTCTTCCCTCCAGCTACGTATATGCTGTTCCCTGTAACAGCTCTGCTAACTAACAAAAGAAGCAGCTGCAAGAACAATGGTGAGAGGGACAGGAAATAGAAAGTTTTACCATACAGACAATACCAGCAAATCCAGAACCACGTTAAATAAAGGAGCTCTGCAACCAAGCCAAGGGCCTGAAGTTACTCTATAAGCAAAGCATGAGTTGAACTAGACAGTACAGAGCAGCAATCCCAAGCATTTGTTTTGCTAAACAGGACAAAGCCAGCAGCTAACAGATTCAAAACACAAATACACTCACCTTCTCCAAAGCCTATTTGCTCAAATCATTGCTGTCAACAGAGAGCATTGGTTATTCAGAACACAGACACTACAGCCACCTTCTCCTGACAGTGGGTGCTTTCACAGCGAGTAAACTAACTGAGCAGGCTTCCTTTTCACAAGCACTGGTGGGATCAGAATCCTCACTTCAATATATTCACCAACTTAACTACAGGAGTACTTACCTAGAAGAGAAAAAGAGCTTTGATAGCTGTTGCATCCCTGTCCATCAGTGCCGATGGGTCTTACTCTACAGTCTTTTGAAGCAAGGAAAATGGAAGAGGTCAGGTACTATCTCACATACTGTTTTCTTTTGAACACCTTAAAGCTCACAGATTTACCATGGCCATAAGAGGTAAGTGATAATAATTTACCTGCATATTTGAATACAGCCTCTGCAATACATTCTAATGCATGCCATAACAGTAATTCCATCTATTGCAATTACATCATGGCTTCCCAGATCTGTCCATCACACTATTATGAAAGCACCATTGGATGTTTTCTCTTTCCTCTCACACAAGATTCTCTTGTCAACTCTTCAAATATAAGACAGACAAACATGTAAGCATCAGATATGTTTATTAGACAATTCAAAAAGTCAGTTTTATTAGACAATTCAAACAGAAAAGTAGAATATATTTTAATGTCCATGTTTTAATACTTCATCTGAAGAACCTGGCAATCACAGGAAATAAACCCCCTGTTTACAAAAGTTACAAAAGCTGCACTGCATTCTGAATTACAGAAAACATGGTTAGTCCACAAGGAAGCTTTATAAAATGCAGTAACAGAACTTCAGCTGACTATGAAACAGTGATATTGCCATGTATATGCATTCACAAAATCAGCATAGTATGGAAATTAAGGCACTTTGGATACATAGTATTCACTTCCATAGAGGAAAACAATTTCAGAGAAACCACAGTAAATAGCTACTGGTGGATAGTGACAGTCCATGCCCAGTACTGGCCATCGAAGCACCAGGGTCGTGTGAATGAGAGAAGCTCTTGATAAAAAAAAGCACTCACAAGTTCTTTTATCCTATTTGGTATCAAAGACTCATTGAAGCAGTTTTACTTTCCAAGAGGTCAAGGAAGATTTCCATCATTTAAACACTGCTAAACACAATTTTGAAAGTTAACACATCTCAAAATAAAGGTCCATGGTGAAAACTGCAGGGAGTTCACACTCAGGATTAGTGCACGAGCTGCTTCAAAAGAAGACATAAAGCAAAGCATTGACTTTCTCCACTCAACACTGACCTGCCATTTCCTGAGGCCCCACCACCCATGGGAATACCAAAGGAAATACAGTAGAACGGAATCCTTTGTCAAAGAAACAACCTCAAGATTGCACTTCCCAGTTGTCCTTTTCATTTTAGATTGTCACATGTTTACTGCCTCTACCCCTATCTACTGACAGATCCACTACAGATTCTACAAAGAATGATTCCATAATTTCATCAGTAACCGAGTAGTTTTGGAGACTTCTATTGCAGCCTTTGCTACATAAATTCTAAGGAGTAAAAATACTCGAGAAGCGGGCAAGCATACAAGTACTTGAACAGGAGTTAAAGAGAACTGTTAGCAATGACATTAGGCATTTACAGGATCAGGCACTGATATTGTGTGTTATTGTTGCTGGTTGACTTCAGTAATTTGAATGAAAAATGCCATTTATAGGGGAAATAAAAGTACCTTCTTCAAAACTCAAAGCAGGACTTCTACGTGGAAGCCACGTTCACTCTAAACAACTTGGCTCACAGTTAGAACAATTTCCACAACAGTACTTTACAAATTAGTAGTGTCCAAGAGATTTCAGCTAATGTCAGGAAGAAAACACTTGATATGCACAGCATATTTACAAGTATATTCCTGTTATGTCTTCGATGAACCATTAACATCCAGAAAAGAACATTTCCTTTAATGTTAATTCATCTTTACAAGAATGACAGCCTGGACATGCTTCAGTACAAAACAGAGCTACTCAGCATTCCTCAGCACTGTTCACCATACACACATCTGAAGTTTAAACTTAAAACATGTAATTAACCTTCCTGAAACCTGATATTCCATT